TACGATTATGTTGTTTTCATAATCGTTGGAAGCCAAAATCGTAATTGCGATTAAAATACGATTAATTGAGCAGCCCTATGCTGCGTGGGGTCTGGGTGCTGTGTTGGCGGGACGTTGCGGGGCTCGAGGAGCAGACAGTGTGAGCTGGAATGCTGGTGTGACACACACACACACACACACACACACACACACACACACACACACACACACACACACACACACACACACACACACACACACACACACACACACACACACACACACACGGAGCCGCAGCTGAGAAAAGATAAGGCTGAGTGAGTGTGAGTGAGTGAGTGAGTGAGTGAGTGAGTGAGTGAGTGAGTGAGTGAGTGAGTGTGTGTGTGTGTGTGTGTGTGTGAGGAGCTCCGCGGATTGGGGTCATTTGGACCAATCCGCGGAGCCGTTACGTCACTATGACCGTTACGTTACTATACTCAGGAAGACATTTTTTTTTTAAATCTCCAACGAGGCGTTCTGGGGCAGCATAGACAGGTCTTTTCTGTGTTAGAGTTTTACTCGCTACAGGGTGTACTTTGAGGGTTTGTGACCGTTTACATGCATAAAAACCTACATTACACACAAGGGGACGGGTAATAACCGGAAAAGCATGTCATGGGACCTTTAAGTGTTTTTATGTTCTGAACACAATGTTCACTGACTTCTCTCACTGCAACTGAGTGGGTTCACCTCATCTAGAGTAGCTACATTTATTTACAATCAAGCATATTCACAAGTGGAATAATAGAACTACAAAAAACAAGTATGTGTAACATTCTTGTTAATTATCCCCGCATTAGACAGACTATAGTGCGTGTAGGTTTGTTTCTGAACTTGATTTGGGTTGGATTCTGTATTGTGTGCAGTGGTCTCACCCTGGGATAAGGCAGGCCGCTGCTGGTGTTGAAGGCCGGCAGCAGGCGGAGGCCCAGGTCTTTGGCCATATGTAGGAGATCATCCTGGTACCACTGCATGTTCTGACCTCCGTCCTTCAGCATCACGGCCATGGAGTGCCCTCCCAACAAGCCTCTGAACATAGACACGACCAAGAGCCACATTAAGAATTAAGTACATCATATATGCTACGATTACAGAGGGAAACTTTTAAAGAAAGATGGAGGTAACTAATAGGGGGGGACTGGGATTAATAATGGAAGGATTATTAAAATTACAAAAAAAGGAACTGGACTGTGTGACACCCCAAAATAATATAATATGGCTTCTTTCAAATTAGGAATTTTTATTTTTGAAATATTCTGGTACATGGATATTTTTCCTAAGTATATTGGACTGTATTATTGTAATATGTAGGATGACCTTATATATAACCCATCTTTTATTTTTGTTATACCTGTGTTATTTACATTCTCAGTGTTATTGATTTCTATACGTTTTGTTTTTCATATTCTCATGTTGAATTTCTTGGATTTGAGACCTTCTACATGTTGTGACCCCTTGTTAAAGAAACTGTTCATCTAAATTGGAGTACTAATGGATGTAAAGGGCAATGTCAGAAAATAAGTAATAACTTTGAATAAAATGAAATAAAAAAAATAAAAAGAATTACATCATAAGAGCTATTTGTTAACCATTGACATGTGTTGATAGTCTGATCCAATCTCACCCAAGCACTCGTATGTTGGTTTCAAAGACCGACACCACAATGTCGTTGTCCAGCCTCACATCTTTCAGCACTCTTCTCACTGCCGCCTCGAACTCTGTCGTCTTGTTCAAAAGCTGTCAATCAGAAAAAAACATTACTATAAAATCAGGTTTAAGTAGAAGGGATTTCATAGTTTAAAAGTGGAGTGAAAGACTCAAGATAGTCTTAAAACAACTGCCCTTAATAATACTAAATTAATGGCTTTGTTAATGTTGGATTTAGTCAAATCAAAGCACAAAGGATGTCTGCACAAGGCTCTGAATAAATAGTTTATTTCTCTTTTCAAGACTTCATTGTGGTCTGCAGTTCAGTATTTTTTGTCTTGCAATTTTATAGCCTAATCCATACATTTCTCCAATTTCATCAATACTTTCACAGTATTCTGCCTTTTCAAATAAATAATGACTGCAAGACAACAAAACATGGAAAATACCCACCACTAGAGTATCCAGAGTGTCTATGAGCGTCAGAGAGAACCTGTCGGAGAGAGACAAATATATTTAGCAAGGGAGTTGATTTTGAATCACAATAATTAATGCATTTACAATGAATGTAAAAGTTATGTAATATACAATTATAAGTACAAACTTCCACCTCTGCCAGGAGCTCAACCAGGTGTGGTTATGTGTGTGTCTGTTGACCCATGTCATAATTGCTCTGTTATTGCATTAGATCTTAAGGAACAGCGTGTTACTCACTTTCCTAAAGCGTCGTCCACGTCACCTCGACTGGGTTCAAGCCCACGCACTCTTCCTCTGCACGTTAGTGGCATCAGCTCATCTGCTGGGTACGCGTGGTCCTGAAAAACACAAAACATAATTTAAACACCATGCACCTTACATTTTTGTCTTTTCAATAGTAAGCCAGCTCAGTCTGATTGTTGTAAATCCCCCTGTCTTTATCTGTTTTATTGTATTACACTGTGGGAGGAGCCTCTGACCTAAGATTTTCATTGTCATAACTTCACTGTATCTATGCACACATGACAATAAAAGCCATGAAAGTTGAAACCTGATCCTACTTAACGCCTGAAATCAGCCGCTCAGTCTCTCTCCCGTGTCTGTGGCAGCAAGCTGATTCCCACGTGCTCTCTTAACCAGTTGACGCATTATTATTATAAAAATCATCATCAACATCACCTTTAACTGTGACAGTCAAGTGCTGTGAAGGAAATAATTCATTAAACCGCTCTCATCGTGGGTCCTCTCCTCGTACTTTGACTGGTATGACAAGGCAGAGACACTTTAGGCAACTCTCCAACTAAGTTCAATTACAGTCTAGTTTATACACTGACCTTAAAGCTGCCATAACAATCTACATGATACTTGAAATAAAAATCCAAAAAGTCAGCAGGGACTGTAAATTATCAAAACTACAAACATCACATCTTATATTACAATAGATATGCTTTACTCTATTACAATTAACTGGTTTGGGCAGGGATGCAAACAAGAACCGCTCTGGTCACTTGATACAATCTGGAAACAAATTTAAATATCAAAGCTGCATGACAAAAATACAAACAGCTGTAGGTAGTGGAAATAGATATTTACTTACCATATAATTCTGATATGCATGGTCAAACATCTCAACCACTTGGTTCCTTTAGGGAGGGGAAATACACAAACAAAAGTCAGCATTGTTCAATTGTTTTCAGTGTGAAAATGTATTTTTTTGCTAATGAGAACTGTCTGATTTCTCTCAACTCACCTCAAGCGGCTTTTCTCCTCTCGTGACATGCTCTCTCCGAGTCTGCATAATGCTCCAAGCAGCATCAATGAGAACAGTACAGCCGGCATTGTGGTAGGGGGGCAAGATCGCAGCAATATGCATAAACTACCGCTCTCAGTCAGACCCAGAGCAAATACTAAGTCATAACCAGTGCCCTAACCAAACACCCAAAACTAACCAGTGTTATACCTCTGAGATCATTTTAAAGCACGTTTGGCTTTGCCTAAGATATACCACTTGATCATCTACAGGCACAGAAAGCTTCACAGAATAATGCTAGTAGGTTGCTGAATCTTGCCACTGACACAGCGTCCTTGTTTATCAGCGAACATCGAAAACAGCAATATTATTCCTATTGTGACTATGTATGAAGTGCACTTAAACTGCAATTAAATAGGAATGTTGTTATTTCTAGTAACCAGATATCGAGGTGTGATTGACAGAGATGTACCAGACATAAGGACTAGTGCAAAGTTGCTGTGCGCAGGTTGGTGAGTCACACCTGCTTATTTCTCCAAAGTGTCAGGTGTGACACGTTGACATAACCACGTTTCATGTAACTCTCATCTAAAGCAAACCGGTTATCCCAAGTTAACCCTGCAATGTAAACATGACAATAATATTATTTCCTAGATGTAGTCTTATAGCAACAGCGATGTAGGAAACAATTCCGTTAACACGACACACATTATCTAAGACTCACTGTAAACCAAAGGAAGCACAGCACACCAACCCTTATGTTGTTTGTGTTGAAAAACCCACTCGTTTACAACACAATCAATTAATATACAAGTCAAACCAATAACCCATTTGGAAACGACTTGTTCATACCAGTTCCTGTTATCACTCTGGTGTGTCAAACCTTTTTTAGATATTATAAGTTAATGATGTCCTCCTCTTTGACAGTTATCTTCAGGTTATCGTTGTCAGGGTTTAATTAGCCTGTTAGCCTGTTAGCCAGCCGCGCTATAACTAGCCGATCTCGCCATAACGGACAGATCGATAACGCGTGAAAAATCCACAAAAAACGCGTCCATTGTAGAGCAACGCACCTGTGCGATCTGTTTTTTCTGTACCTCTGTTTAAAAGTGTAATAATTCCGCCGTAAGAAGCTGTTACGCTAAGCTAGCCTGTCTAAAAAAAAAACGGATGACGATTAAACGTCAACAACATCCGCTTCCTGGATCGTTGCGGCATGTATTACTCCCTGAGTTTAGTTTTTCAGGCAAACATTCCTCGCAGGCTGGGAAACATATCGCCCCGCCTTCGATGAGATGTTGCACTCCGAACTTTAGATTTGACTGTAGTCCTTCAACTAAAAACATATAACTTTAACTTAATGAAAACAAGATGTGTGTTAGGATTCGAATTTGTTGGACAAGAGGTTTGAGAATTTACCTGAAAGTCTACATTTGGGAAATGAATAGTCAATAATAACCTAGCAGACCATTCTCCCTTGTGTTGCCTTTACGTGCCGATCATTACAATTGAACTATGGTAATCAAGGTGATATGATCTATAACCTAATCCAGAGGCAACATTGCACCACTGCTCTGCTGGCTCAACAAATCCTCTCTTCTACCATGTATGTGTATTGTTGGAATATCAGTTTATTTGTGTACATTTATCAAGCCATATTATTTTTGAACACTTGGTGCCGGGGGTTAGCTGCACATGGTTGTATATAAACAGGGCCACATGTGACAGGATGTGCACAGGATTACAGGGAGGGAGGGAGAGAGAGAGAGCATAGTCGCTCTGACTATTCCAAACACTGACTGGAGGATTCATCCGTGGTATTGTACAAATCTGAATGAAATAATTGCTAAACTGCATTCAAAGACAGGAAATCATCTGTTATGTGTCTGGATAACTCTAACCTGTGTAGTAGACCTAATGGCAAACGGAATTAATTGCCATTAGAATCAGCGTCTTGTATTTTTAAATGTGTAAGGCTACTACACTTGTTTCCCTTTCAACGCACTGTACCTGAAACATATTGCTTCAACATGTGGGATTCACATACTCATTTCGATCAGATTCAGTGTCATTTCTTCAGAAAACATTTTTTAGTGCAGATGTTACGGTGGCCGGCAGGTGCAAACGCGTTTAGTATTTAAGACGCTCAGCTGCCTTAACATCCGCAAATCAGGAGGCAGGAAGTGTTAGATGAACATCCTAATGTATATGAAGAAAGACATTCGTCGCAGAGTGTTGTAAATATACCTTTTTCTATTCAAGAGTTGAGAAGAGCATTAAGTAAGTGTAAAATGACTGCTCCTGGGAAAGATAATGTATGTAATGTTGACCAAATTAAGTGATGTTGCATTAGGAAAGCTGCTGGAGATGTACAATAAGATCTGGGAGAAAGGGAAGCTGCCAATAATATGGAAAGAGTCAGTCATTATTCCTATTAGAAAACGTGGGAAAGATCCAACCAGTCCAGGCAGTTATAGACCTATAGCTCTGACATCGCACTTGTGTAAAGTTATGGAAAGAATGATAACAGAAAGGCTAACATACTACATTGAGAAAAATGAACTAATGACTCCTTATCAGAGTGGGTTTAGAAGAGGGCGGAGTACTTTAGATCCACTGCTGTGCCTGGAGTCTGAAGTCAGGAAAGCCCAAGCGAATAAGGAGTGTGTTGTAGCTGTATTCTTTGATGTGGAAAAAGCTTACGATATGATGTGGAAGGAAGGATTATTAATAAAACTGGACATTATGGGTCTGGGAGGTAATGTATATAATTGGATTATGGATTTTTTGTTTGGCCGTGCCATCAGAGTCCGAGTTGGCAATTCATATTCTCGAAGGCATGAAGTTGAAAATGGAACCCCGCAGGGGAGTGTCATCAGTCCTCTTTTATTTTCTATCATGATCAATGATATATACACACACACACACACACAGGATCTGATATTGGTAAGTCACTTTTTGCAGATGATGGAGCTATTTGGAAAAGGGGCAGAAATGTAAAATATATTGTAGCTAAGATTCAGGAAGCCATTA